CTGAATACTGAAAAAAACATATTTTAATAGATTATTTCTGAAGAAAAAGCTGTGGATATATACCTTCTTTGCCATTTAGAAATACATTTAAGCTCCACATATCTGGAAATTCAGAGCAGTATATCTATCATACTGTTGTCAACTGAAAGGGCAGCATGATCTTGCCTGTAATTATCCATTTGTGTGTGCGACAGTAGTATTTTTAATGCGCCATGCAACCTTTGCTTACTAGGAATGCTGATATTTAAGAGCCTGATCCTGTAGACCTTACTCAGGCATTGACCTTAAGAGGAGTTTTAACTGATAAAAATTTCAGGATCATGCCCTGGGACAAAAGCTGAAATCCTTTCGTTCATAGCATTTACTTACATGAAAGTCCCATTGAATTTAACTGGAGGTTTTCTTGAGTAAGAATGATATGGCTCTACAGCTTGATTGTCACTTAAGGCAGTAAAACCTCTCTGAGGGAGATGAAGGTGAGAAAATCTATTAAAGGATCCCTTTTCAGAGTTCCTCCACAATGTTTCACTTCAAGTTATGAGGGCTGCCACTGCACTCCTTTCCTGAGTATGAGTCTTGGCCCAGCCCTGCAAACCTGGAAGAAAATTTAGCTATTTGAAAAAAAACATGTCTATCCTGTGCTCTGTACCCTTCTCAGCAATGTGACGGTTCTACCAGATCTTCACATATCCATGGTGCCAAAGGTCCCTATGCAAAGGGAATACCTCCCAGGCCCCATCAAGGGACTCTATGGACTGGGACCCATGGCTCTGAGATACTGTATCTGCATAAAATCTCTGGGTGCACAGTGAAAACATTTTGCATATTCTACTCCAAGTCTTATCCAACCTGAGGTTTTCCATTCTCTGTCCCACCTGGGTTCCATCTCCTTATAGATCTAGGTTGTGCAGACTCCTTTGTGATGCCCCCGTAAATTATGGTGGTGCTATAAACATGGTTGGCACCCATCTGTCTAATATATGGGAGAAGAGAGATGTGTGTGCAGGACATTCCCTCCACATGTGGAAATTTGGGGGACATGATCTGGCCCCAAATTTGTCTTGCAATTACTGCTTTAAAGAACAGAGTAACTATAAACCAAAGTAGGGCCAGATTCTATTCTACCTATTAGGCTTCTAAGTGGATTTAGGCACGTAAATGCAATTCTATTCTACTCTACTCAAATCCTTTGAAATGAATTAATGCATGTACTTTTGTAATTTATCATCTTACCCTTAAGGTTGAATCACAGGAAAAAAAAAACAGTGAGGAGGAGGACCCACCCAACCTTTGTCTAGTTTTTTTTTTTTTCCAGGGTCTCAGACTAGAGTAGAATTACACTCAGGTACTTAAATCAACTATAGTAAAAGACTTGTTATCTGGCATGAGTGGGGAATGGGGGTGCCGGTAATCTAAAAATGTGGGTTACCTGAGGCACAGGGTTTTCTGGCCAGATGTGGAGCTGGGGGAGGAGGGGTAGGGCAGCCACATGTGGAGTCCAGGGGCGGGGGGGAGGAGGTGGTGGCCGCGTGTGAGCTCCCCCCCACCTCCCGCATCCAGCCAGAAATTCCAGTTAATAGAAATGCCAGTTAGTAAAATGCTGGATAACAGGGCTTTTACTGTAATATTTCTTAATAGGTGGAATAGAGTCTTGCCTCTGGTGTTTTGTACAAAGCCTACAAAGTGCTTTTTCTTTTTAATGTTTGGTGAGGTTATATTTGCAGTAAAAGTGAAACTAGTAGCACTAGATAAAATCTTAAGTGTCTCCTCCTGTTATTCAGCAGCTGTTGCAAATCCATACAGCAATTTGTAAGTCACATTAACAGCCTACAGCATGCAGAGGAATTTTCCTTCATAGATATTGAGAGGACTTTTTCTAGAGTTTTAGAGAACTAAA